TTAGTCAATGAAATTAAGCAAATCAGTGTCATCTGAGAAAACCCCCGCCAGAGGCCACGCCCACCGGGTTCTCCCGCTAAACCAGAGGCCATGGCCCCTCCAGATCCCGCGCCAGGTCCGAGGCCCAGCTTTCTTTGGTCCCGCCCTCAGGGAGGCCACGCCCCGCAAGGGCCAGTCCACCCCCAGGAGGATCCAGCAAGGTCCCGTCCACGCCCTCAGACCAAGGCCATACTCCTGCGAAACCCTTGTCGCCAAGTCTAAGGCGCTATTCCTGCGTATGGTTCCCGGCCCGAGGCCACGCCTAGAGCCCATCCTGTCTCTCCACCATCCCCGCTTTTACCCCAGGCCGAGACCACACTCCCGGACAGCGTCTCGCCCGCAGTGGGCGACTCCTTCCAGCTCAGATGACACTCACCCACACCAGCTGCTTCCGGAGTCCCTGGATGGCCCTCGCGTTGGCCTGGGACTGCGAGACGCACACGGTCAGGACGAGGCTGTGGACAGATGGGAACCCAAGGTCAGTCACCCCACTACTTCCTCCCTCCCCACCAAGTCTTTTAGAAACGCCTCCTGGGGTCTCTCTCTCTGCCTGCGTTCGCAGACACTGCTTTCTCTCCGTCCTTCCTCCCGTGGACGCTCAGCCTCCCCTCCTCTCAATGGCAACAAAGATAACGCTGCAGGTTCGCAGAGCATCTGCACCAGGCACTGTGCTTCCCCAGCGGTCAGGCCAGGGGCCGGCTTTGCAGGTGAGGCCCTGAGGGGGCTGCCCAGGGTCACGGGGGGAACCCCCAGGCCACCTGCCTTGGCGCCCCTGCCTCCCTGGGCTCCCCTCGTCTGGCTCCCAGATCCCATGAGGTGCGGTGCCCATGGAAGGAAGGACCCCTCCCCCCAAGCTGCCCCTCCCTTGGCCCCTGCTGTCCTAGAAGAACCTGAGCAGGATGAGGAGGGGAAAGCTGAAGGCACGGGAGCCCAGGTAGTGGAGGGCGCGCTGGCCAGAGGGTGGCAGCCGGAGGGCCACCAGCTCTGGGACCACCTGCCAGGGGGCTGAGTAGTTGGCGAAGAGGCCACAGTCCCAGGAGGAGTGGATGCTGTGGAGAAAGGGCCGGCGTGTGCTGGCGTCAGGGACCCAGTGAGGAGCTGCCCGCCCGCCAGCCTCCAGCCCCTCCACTGCCCTCACCTGCTGACCACGTAGCCCAGAGGCACGGTGGCCAGAAGCAGGCCCAGGATGAGCACCAGCTGGAAGAAGAAGGTGGAGCTGGAGGCACGGAATCGTCTGGGGGACACCTTGGAGTTCTTGAGGAGAGTGTACTGGGGAGCAACAACAGTGGGGGTGTCAGCCCCGCATGCAGATGCCAAGGAGTCCGAGGCCCAGGGAGGTGGTGCTGAGCAGGGGAGGCGGCAGGGGCAGGACGTGAGCCCCACCCAGGTACAGCCCTGCTCCCCACCCCAGCCTGGGAGCCTGCACCTTCTTGATGTAGAAGGTGAGGAAGATGAAGATGCTGTTGAGCAGGGGCAGCAGGGGGCAGTAGAAGAGACCCATCCAGGTGATCGTCTGCCCCGCCACTATGTCCAGCACGTTCTTGGGCACCAGGAACTCCTCCCGGTCCAACCAGGCCCAGAACCGGCCTGAGAATCGCTCCACCAGCAGCCTAGGGGCAAGAAGTGTCCAGGGACCACCATCCCGGAGGACGTGTGGACCACACCCATCACGGTCATAGGCCCTCCCACTCTCCCACGGACCCGCATGGGAACTGCTCACCCTCGGCTGTGGCCACTGGCCATCCCCAGACATGCCCAGGCTCCCCCCATGGTGTCCCCACGTGGCTCACTTCCTAGGCAGGCTGACGAAGAAGGCGAAGGCCACGGTGAGCAGGAAGTTGAAGATGCTCAGCCGGTACAGCTCCTCCCCGACTGCGTTCTCCCAGCACTGGTGCAGAGGGGCCTGTCACTGTCCACAGTCCCAGCCGCCCATCGCCCACCCGCTGGGCGGTCTCTGTGGCACAGGAGCCTTGCCCGGAGTTTGGGATGATTGCTAAGTTAAAACCCAGGTTTCGAGGGTAAGATCTGAGCAGGAAAACCCCACAGCCGGGATCGCCACCCTCCAGGGCGCAGTGTGGTGTGGATGGCGCCCCTGGTGGTGGGCTGCGGTGTGGCAGCTCTGCCCACGGCCTCTCCCTGCGGTGAGACCTGGGGAGGGACAAGGGGTTCAAAGGGGCAGGGAGGGGCACAGAAGGGACAGGCTCTGATGGAGCCATCAGCCACCTGGTAGTCACAGGCGTTGTAGCCGTAGGGCTCACAGCTGGTGTTGTTTCTGCCGATGCACAGTATGGTCTGGCCCAGCGAGAAGGAGAACATCCCCAGGCTGGCCAGCTTCAGCACCACGCACCTGGGGGCAGAGGCTGTGTCAGGGCCGAGGCCCCGGGCACGTGGGCTTGCTCTACCCGGGATACAGGTATGGCTGATACCTGAGCAAGATCGTGTCTTGCCCAGGCCCAGCCCCCTCTGAATCCACAGCCCAGCTCCTTCCAACCTGCTCCATCCACGACAATGTTCCCCAGAATCTTGGTCTCCAGATGACTCATGGGAGAAGGGTTCTGTTTTTAAATCAGTTTGAGAAACACTGCACAGTCTAGGTGTCCTCCCCGTATACCCGATGGACCTTTAATGTCCTCTGGCAGGTGAGCTCTTCCTGTCTCCTACCGCCTGGTACTTGCGCTGCCCCGTAAACCACCGACGCGTGCACGCGCACGCCCGCATCACACGAGCAGGTGGCCAACCCGACACCATGGCACACGTGTGGCATCTAAGTGCATGCTTTTCAATGCTGACGCCTAGCAGGCTGTTGACAGGGGCTGTCAGTCGAAGGAGGCTGGGAGGCAGGGGTGCAGGGGGCAGCAGATGGAGAGCAAAGCTGGGCTGGAGCTCAGGGGTGGCAGAGGGTCTGTGGGTCCGAGACAGGACCCTGGCTTGGAGAGGGGACACGGAGCAGAGCGTGGGGCAGAGGAGGGCTTGCGTGTGAGCCTCCACGCAGCAGGCGTGGCGAGCTTGACCTTGGCCGAGGCATTGGTCCCTGAGAACCTCAGTTTCCTCATATGTCCAATGGGGAAGTGAGGATGGTCCCGCTTCACAGGTCATGTGAGGGTTGTCAGGGTAACGAGTGTAAGCCCTCAGGCATGTGGAAACTGTGTGCATCCCACGCTCCTGGTTCCCCTGAGGGTGTGAAGCTGGTTCCCCACACCCTCTGGCAAAACCGTCACTGGCCCCCCTCAGGGCCAACCTGCCCTCCCTTGCTCGGCACCCCTGGTGCCAGGAGACAACCAAGACGGGCAGCAGGACAGCTCCTCACGTGCCTCTGAGTCCTCCCTGCCTTCCCCTCCCTCCCGCCTGTCACCCAGGAGGTGGCGCTCACCACATAAGGGTGAGGTTGACTTCAGTGTTGGGAGAGTAGTTCTCCAGCTGGACCAGGAACGTGAACAGCAGAGGACCCAGAAAGTTGACCAGAGAGATGACTCCGGGGGGCAGGTACTGGAGCAGCACGAACAGGGCCTCCTGCAGGGATGAGCAGGGGTGTCCGTGGGCTGGAAGCCCCTCAGAAGCACCCCCTAAAATCCTGTGTACCCCCTAAAATCCAACTCTAGGTGGGCCCTGCGTCTGGAAGGCCATGGACTATGGCAGCATTGCCGTGGGCAATGTCCACAGGTAAGGCCAGCTCGATCTGGCTGTGACCGTGGGCAAATTGCTTTAACCTCTCTAAACCTCAGATTCTTTAAAGGGCCACCTCCCGTCTCCTCCCACAGTTCTGGCCGGAATTAAATGAATGAGTGTCAGTTGCCCGGCACCTCCTTGTTGTCCTGTGAGTACTTGGTGGCCCAGAAGATGGCGCTGATGGCCGCAACCACCAGGACCCCAATGAGGAAGTTGACCCGCAGGTAGGTGAGCAGATGGCACGCTCTCTGGGCCCGGGTCTGCTGCTGCACCTGCAGGAAGCGACGCCCCTCCTCCAGCTCCACCTGTCGTGGGAGTGGAGGCAGAGGCGGGTTAGGGCTGGGCCAGGCTGGGTGGTGCACGGAAGGGGGTGCTGTCCAACAGGTCGAAGCCCTGGTCAGTGGGTGCGGGAGACAGGCTGCCAGCACTTAGACAGGGTTTGGATGACACGGGGCAGGGACAGGCCCGGGAGTGGCCGGTGGTGTCCTACAGACCACGCTCTCCTCGCACTGTGCAGGTGAGCGCTCACATCTACAGCCGCTGCCTCCAGCTGTAGTACCTGGTGTGCATGCATGTGTACACACACTCACACTCACATGCACATGCACACACACTGTGTACACTCATATTCGGTTACACTCGGCACATTTACACACGCATACTCACATAGGCCCTCGCACACACCTTGAACTCATTGCTGATCTCGTGCTTTTTGATGCTGCTCGCTTCTTTCCCCTGGATACAGAAGTCCCAGGAGGAGAAGACCTTGGCACTGAGAGGCGTCCTGTAGTGCTGGCCCAGGAACAGCTTCTGGGGCAGCCCCTTCACCATCCTGGAGGGGCGGGAGGCCAGGGCCTGTGGGGGTGGGGCACCTCCCGCTTGCCAGCCTCAGCCGTGGCTGGGCCCTGGGTCTGGGGTGGGAAGCCCCTGGCAGTCCCAGGGGCAGGCTTTGGCCACGGCCTCAGTGGGGGGTGGGGAAACAGGGGCAGTGGCCCTTGTCCCTGAGGTCTGCAGTTGGTGACACAAAATTTGGACCCTGGAAGCACCCATGAGCCTTAACGAGGAGGGGCCAGGGCCCTCCTGCCACCGTCTGGAGGTACCATGCCAGCGGAGGGGTGAGGGGGAAGACCCCCCTGACACATGTGGAAGCAGGGGCCGCGCTCTCACCGCTGCAGAGTCCCACAGAAGCAGAGGAGCAGGCAGGCCAGCGGGCTCAGGAGGTAGGCCAGGCGGATGCTGTATGCCGAGCCGTCCTCCGGCCCGGCCCGGTACGCTCCGTAAAAGAGGTAGGTGTTGCTGAAGGCCTGGGGACGTGGATGGTGACAACTGAGCGCGCGTCCCTGCCAGGCTGTGTGCCGAGAGCTCTCCATGTATCGACGCATTAACTCCCACAATAACACCATCGGGAAGGGGTACGAGTACCCCTATTTCACAGAGGCACCAAGGGTTTTGGCGACTTGCCCAAGGCCACAGTTTTGAGGGAGACAGGACTGGAACACGGAGTCTGCACGGTAACCGCTAAGTTGCTTCCCAGGATGAGGGTGAGGTGATATCTCGGAGGCCTGGACCCTTGTGCCCTCTTGTCCGTGGTATCCCCACCCCACTGGGCAATGCAGGTTGTGGGCACCTGTCCATGGGCCTGGGCTGTGCAGTGGCCTCACCTTCTTTCTGACCCCATCACTGGCCTGGCCAGCTTATCTGTGTAAGACTGTCTCCCTAGAAGCCGAAATGTTCTTGGAGAGGTGGGGTCCTCTTAGACTGGGTCCCCAGCCCTCCTGGCCCACAGCTGGGACAGAGCCCACTCACCCTGCCAGTTAAGACATTCCAAAGTTGGTTGTGGAAACTGGGAACACCAGTCTGGGGCTGGGTGCCACCAGGGCACCAGAGGGCTATTGGGAGGGGGAGAGAGCCAGTAAGGAAAGACCCCCAGGCCTGGGTGAGGCTCTGCCCCTACCCACTGCTGGCCCTCGACCCCACAGAGGCCCGAGCACGGCCCTGGGGCTGGGCCACCGGGCGTACCGTGCAAAGGGCTTGGGCAGGTTGAGTCCCCGGCCGGACCCAGGCAGGAGGCCCAGGCAGGACACAGAGGCTCAGGGCTGTCACCGCACTCCGAGCTCTGGATCGGGGCAGGGTGCGGGCAGGCCAGGCACTCACTGAAGTTAAGGGCAGGGCCTGGGTCAGGGGGCCGGAGCCAGACCAGGGGCAGCAGGACGGAGCCGGAGGTCAGAAGCAGGGTCAGCAGGTTGAGCAGTAACAGGAAGCGAAGGAAGGTGAAGTAGGACTGGATCCCAGTGCCGAAGAGGCCTGCGGGGCAACAGCGGGCGGGTGAGGGCAGCGCTGAGCCGCCCTGCGGAGACTCAGGGCTGACCCGCCCAGTGGCCTGTGGGCGACCAGTCCCATGGGACGGGTTTCAGGGACGACTGACCAACCCAATGGGGTGTGTGTGACCAGCCTCATGGGACTGGTTTCAGGGTCGTGTCCTAGAGGCCTAACAGTACCTCTGACAGCCACCAGAGGGTGCTGTCACCCACCACAGTTTGTGCCGGGACTATGGGGAGGAAGGAGGGCTGTGTGCGGGGAAGGGGGGTGGGGG